TTTTTTTTTTTTTATCTTACCTCTAAGTAATAACAAAAAGATTATAAGTTTTCTCAAAAATTCTTACCTCCATCTTGAAATTTGCTTAGTCTTTCAAAATATGATGACATGGGGACTTGTACAATATCTAAGATAGCCAGAAGTGTTCTTGTCAGCCTTAATAACTCACTGAAACTATAAAAACCAAAGTATATAAGATTCCGAGCCAAGTGGACCACCTTGATTTGAAAAAAAAAGAGGAGGGGTGAAAAGGAAAAGAAAAACATTGAGAATTGAAATAAATTGAGATTTTTTTGAATTAAATTAGTTCAGGTATTGGTAAACTTTCTAATTCTTGAACACCTAAAATTTCAAATGTCTGCAAAAGCGACCATTTGAACTTCAATTTATTCAAGTCTAGAATTAAATCCAAATGAGACCAGTTAATCAACCCCATCAAGAAGATAAGATTTGGGTGCATCAAGATGGTTAAAGAGTTTATATTAGACATATTTACCTTTCAACTAAATATTAAGTCATTTAAATCAGAAGATACCACTTAATAAATGTTATATTATTGAATTACTTTAATAAATGCTTATTATCCATGAAATTTATCCAGAAACATATGTTCCTTCTTCTGCTTCCTATGTGGTTTTCTGAATACTATAAGACATAGTAGAGTGAAAGCCAGCCTCCAAGATGGCCACCAGTGCATAGTCTCCTCCCACATTTACCAGGGTTGGACTGTGTGACCATTAGAATACAGGAGAAGTGATGCTATGTCATTTTCAAGATTAGGTTATAAAAGACTGCAACTTCTATTTTGTGCTCTCTCTCAGATGACTCACTCCGGGGGAAGCCAGGTGCCATGTTGTGAGAACATTTGGGAAGCCTACAGAAAGGCCCACATAACAAGAAGCTAAGGTGTCTGGGCAACAGCACAGCTAGCAAGGAAGACCACCAGCAACCACATGAGTGAGTTTAGAATCGGATCACCTAGCCCCAGATGGCTGCAGCCCCGATTGAAAGCGATTGCAACCTCATGAGATACCCTTAGACCCCAGCTAAGCATTCCAGGATCCATGACCATAGAAACCATGAGATAATGCATGTTCGTTGCTTTAGATGTTAAGTGTTGGGGTAATTTGTTCCACAGCAATACATAGCTAATACAACAGGTGACAAGTAACAGTGTCTTTTCTCTAGTTTTGTCACTATATTCTCAAAATGATATTACAACTGGAAGGTATTTCAGTTCAGTTTAATGAGGCTTTTTAAAAACATCAGGGACATAGAGATCAAAAAAACGTATCCAAACATATTATATAGCATACAAAAATGTCTGTGTTCACTAAATGCAATAAAACTTATACAGAAACAAACAAAAAATCAAGAAAAAGTATTGAACATCAAGTATAATAGAACCATGTAAGTCTATATTTTAATCAACAGCAGAGAGAATTATACCTTCATGAACTAAACTACTCAATTACCAAAACATCCTAAATATTAGAGGTCAAAAATAGTTGATGTTCAATGTATCTAATTTTTTATATGGAAAATTAAATAACTTCACAAATGAATTGGTTAAAAAAATACCTCAAATGTCAGTTTGTTTTTTTCTTTATCCCCAAAAGGAAAGGGCTGATTTACAACTTCTTTCAAGTATTCCTCAACAAATTCCATTGTCAGGGCAAATTTCCTCTTCATATCATTTCTTGAAGAGTCTGTTATAGAATCATATCTGGAAAGATAGAAAGAAGACAAAGCAAGCTAAATTCATTGTAATCATTTAAAAATAGGAAAATATACATACTACTTTAATGTCCTGGCTTCATAATCTTGGGTTAATAAGCTAGACCTTCTAGGTGTTGTTTCTCATCTGTAAAGTGGGACTATTGAAAAATGAGTTAATACATGTAAAGCACTTAAACCAGAGTCTGCCGTAATATTAAACACTTAACCACTTATTAATCTTATTATTAATAATATTATTTCTGTTTATTGGCTTCCATAAAGATTCTCCGTTCTCATTAAGAGTTGTCTTTTTACCCAACAAAATGAGCATTTTGTCTTTTTTTTTTTAGAAGAGTAACAACCTGAGTTAAAACACAGAAATGTCTTCCCATATATTCATTTTAAAATTGAAGACATTTGTTTGATTTTAAGTGTATCTTCTAAGGTCAAGGGCCTCAAGAGACTTTTCCTCAACATACTCGTGAATCGTGATCTTAGTGGGAATTTCCGTCCAGAGCCTGGCATAACGAACAGGCACCACAGACTCTTGGGGATCCCGGTCAACGTGCATGTGAAGCATGAGGCGACAAAAAGATGCTCGGAGGTCAAATGGCAGGCTCTCATCCGACACACACCGCAGGATCAAATCTACGGACAGCTGTGTAGAAATCTGGTTTATGGCCAGATACTGGCGATCCAAGCACATTCTCGCAAAGAGGTTTAGCTGGTACCTTAGAAATATCAAACATACTGCATTATTTGTCTTATCTTCATAAAGTTCTAAAACATCATTTTACTGATCAGTATCTACTTTGATGATACCAGTATTTCAAGGGTATGTGATATTGGAGTAGAATTCTTCTGGTAGTAGGTTAAGTAATCAAATGACAATACGTATATGAAATTGTTCCTATGCCAGTTGCATTAGGATTTCTCTTGTTCCAATAATATGAGTCTGGTGGGAAGTGTTTTTAGGCTTACAATTCTCAGGCTCCTACAATACAAATATACTAAGCCTGAAGGCTATGGATAACAGCTCACATGAAGCAATTGCTCTCTGCCTTCCTCAGCCTCACTCAGCTACAGGCACTAGTATCTATGCTCTTTTAGTTTAGTCCCACTCAGTTCCTGAATCAAATGTAACCAAGTCAAACGGTATTAGTACACTTGGATTCATCAGGCTCTGAGATCAAGAATTAGCCTATAGAGGCCTGGTGGTGTAGTGGTTAAGAGCTGCACCTGCTAACCCAAAGGTCAGCAGTTCAAATCCACTAGCTGCTCCTTGGAAGCCCTATGGGGCAGTTCTACTCTGTTCTATAGGGTTGCCATGGGTCGAAATCAAATCAATAGCAATGGGTTTTTTGGTTTTGTTGCTATTGCTCGAGAGACCAGGGAAGGTGAGTATTCTCTTCCTTTCTCTGATTCTTGACATTTGGGTCCAACGTGGCCCAGGAGCTTTTGCCTTGAGTTCTTTCCCTTAAACTAAAAGTTACTAGCTAGGTTCCTGCTCCCAGTATACTGCCACCAGGAACTGCACCTCTGCCCACCAACCTAACTTCAGTTATCACTACCATTGATACTTTCGTTGCCATATGCCACTGCTGAACCTAAAAAACCACAGATGCCAGTTTCTCTTAAGCCCGAGGTCACCACATATGCATAAATACTATATACTAAACTACTGGCTAACTTCCTCTGAGGCCACCTCTGACGCCAGATAGTTTCACCATCCCCAGTTCCATCTCTCGCTCATTCCCCATCACCTAGGTTCCAACATGTCTCTCACATACACCCACCCAAGCAATACCAGGAAAAAAAAAAAACATTTTGTTGCATAAAAATTCCAAAAAACTGTCAAATCATAAATTACAAGCGGTATATGTGAAAAACACAGAGGTTAACTTTTGAATACTTCAAATGGTACCAGATATTTCAGCTACACTAGTTCTGACATGACTGTTTTTAATTTCTTCTTCCTAGAGGTTTCAGAGAGTAATCTCTATATAAGATTTAGAATTATGATTCTCTACAATACTTAACCTGTAATAGGTAAGAACTTCTAAATCAGCTTTGGTGCCTTCTTTTGCCTCTTGAGCAAGATGCCTGATGGCTTTGCCATGAGGTTCCTTGTTGCTGTCGATCCAGTAGAGCCAAACTTCTTCATCATCAATATCTTCTGAGAGAATGGAGCTCTCCATGGGGTTGTCTACTTGCATGGAGACCACCCTTGAAATAAATAACATGTACTAACTCCATTAAGAAACTCATGAATATGATTTAAAAAAAAAAACTACAATGCCTACAAACAATGAACAGAAAAACATGCCTCCATTATCTGGGCTTACTTAGTTTGGATGAGAATGTCTGCATTGCCTGGACTCAACATAAATTTACAGATGAGTTCTTGAGTTACAGGTATCGCAGTGGTGTTAGACACACACAGATCTGATAAATAATCTAAAAATCTGGCAAAAGAAAAACAAGACATTGAACATAAAACACAGCATTTTATATGATCATCACGGTAAAAACATAATTTGAGATATAATCAAAGAAATTTTTATTTTATAATATGTTATAAATATTAT